GGGCAGGCACGTACGACCGGACCGCCTGGCTCATCGCTCCTTCCTCTTCCCATACATGTCACCAGAACGGTATATAGACCCCCTCAATCCCATTCCTGTCACCAGCCAGCAGGCGCCCGTCTAGGTCGACGGGTCAGGTCAAACTGGCTGGCTGGTGGAGTGGTTTATGGTCAACGATCAAAATTTCTAACGCCAACCAGCCTTACTCGACGACAGGCTTAGCGAGTACCCGAGTTCGAATCCCAGCATGAGCACCAAGAGATGTAGCCACACCGGTGGTGAACTCTTTTTTAGTGTTTAGGTGATTTTGGATTAGTAGATATTGGGGGTCACTTGGTCTTAGTATCGCGAATGAATACAACTATGAAGAAGTATAAGCTACTTATGGTATCCTTCAGTGTCGTGACCCCGTATCTGCCAGTAGAGGCTGGTGTTTTACCCCTTTCGCGTTTTCGCGTTATTGGCGCTGGTGAGGGTTGGGCGGTCAGATGGAATGTGAAAATGCGCCGGTTATTCGGTGACCCCGCCGCGCCGAACTGCGGGGCAAGCCGATCGGCAAAGTGCCCCGCCGCCCGCATTACGCCATCCCGTTGCCCAATTGCTCAAACGACGGCTTACCTGAACAGCGGCGTGCCAAATGCTGCGACTTCGCATTCATGTTATCCGAATCATACCACTGATATCTTCTACACAGTAATCGATTCAATAGACGATCTACCTATTTAAATTGCCTTCCCTAACTTCTTCCTAGTTCAGCCTAGGCCTGCCTTTTGTCTTCTGATCTCTCGACCGTTTTTGAATTCCTGTAGAGCATGAGACAGCAGCAGTGAGACACACAGCCATGTCTTTCACATCCATTCCGATCCTCGACCTCGCCTTGGCGCGGGATCCCGAGACGAAACCGCAGTTTCTCATTGATTTGCGCCATGCACTTATGGAGGTCGGGTTCCTGTACCTCAAGAATGTCGGTATTCCCGATGAGCTGTTCAAGAGGGTGATTAAGGAAGGCAAGGGCTTCTTCGATATACCCACCGAGGAAAAGTACAGTGAACTCCTTTGATTCAGACAACGATGCTCCAGATTGTAGACCGGTTTATAAATGTGCTGACATTCTTGATTAGACTAAAGATCGAGATGAAGAACGCCAAATCCTTCCTCGGCTACTCCCAGCTCTCGGCAGAAATCACAGCAGGCAAGATAGACCACCGCGAACAAATCGACCTCTCGACAGAACACCCGCTGCCGGGACCAAACGACCCGCTCTACTACAACCTCCTCGCCCCAAACCAGTGGCCCTCTGAATCCGCCCTCCCGGGCTTCCGCGCCACGTTCACAGAGTACATGGACCGCATGGGCCAAATCTCCATCGCCTTCACCTCCCTCATTGCCGAGGCCATCAAGCTGCCCGCCGACGCCTTCAACAAGTACTTTGACGCCAACCAGCAGCACAAGCTCAAAATCGTCAAATACCCAGACCTCCAAGAACTCGGCATCACGGATCCCAAGATCCAGGGGCAGGGAGTCGGTCCGCACAAGGATAGTATGCTGAGCAGCTACCTCTTGCAAGCGAGCCACCACCGCGGGCTGCAGGTGCAGAACGTCCGCGGGGAATGGATCGACGCGCCGCCCGTCGAGGGGACGCTGGTTGTGGCCATCGGGCAGGGATTAGAGGCGTTAACGCGGGGCGTCTGCGTGTCGACGACGCACCGCGTGCTCAGCCCGCCTGCCGGCGAGGGCGCGCGGTTCTCAATCCCGTTTTTCCAGGGAGTGAGAGGGGACGCTGATTTTGAGGACCTCGAGACCGTCGGCGTCGGGCGGGTGCCGGAGGATATCCGGGAGCAGAGGCGACTTGTGCTGGAGAAGAACGGCGGGACGAGGCTTGACGATGTCGAGTTTACGTTCCGGAAGGGAGGGGTGGCCAAGACGCTTGGGGAGGCGACGTTGAGGAATCGGGTCAAGAGTCATCCAGATGTGGGAGAGAGGTGGTATCCGGACATCCTGGCTGCTATTCGCGAGGAGCAGGCTAGAGCTGCTGGCGGTGGTGGCGGAGAGAAGGACGTCAAGGGTGTTCCGGAGGTTTCGTCGGTTCCTGTTCCAGCGCATTGAGAACTCGCAGTGAGAGCGATATGTAAACTTCATGAGGATCCTCTCTCCTCGCGGTAGTAGCAACTCAATAGACCCATATCTGGATGAACTCGTCGGTTGTACCCGTCGAAAATCCAGCTCGCACTATGAAGTCAGGAATTTCACACAGGTCATGAGAGCAAATAAGCTCGACCGTGATGAGTGCCCCAAGTTGTGAAAGCGTATGTTTGTACTCGTTTAATCGTGTTTTTTTCTTGATTTTCCGAAAATAAAGAGGGCAAGATTTCAAATTACGCCTTTTCGCTGCATGCCCCGGGCCAGATCTTGACCGAATCCGCCCACCATTTCTTCAACATCACGCCGTGCCGCCATGCTCGTCCCTGAAAACTCCTCACAACTCCGTTCTGTTCGTGACTCCTCGTACTCTCCGTGTCTCTTCTCTCTTTCAAACTATGCGGTAACGAAGGCGGGGAAGCAGTCGGCGAGGCCCTTGCTGTGCTTGTTCTCGGCGTGCTCGGTGAGACTGTTGGAAGAACACGATGTCAGTACGCTGGTCCGCAGACATCCAAAAGTACATTGGAGAGGAGGGGCGCGAGGGTTATAACTTACGCGGGAGCCTTGGTGGTCTTCAAGAAGGTGGACTTGCAGATCTGGCACTGGATATCCTTGGCGGCGGCGTTCTAGTCGCAAAAAGTGTCAGTCGCTGGAATCTAGGAAGAGTATTGATTGCGGATGAGTGCTACGTACCACCTTGAGCTGAGAGCCCTTGGGCTTCGCGTCCTTGGCGTTGCGATCACGCTTCTGCTGAGCCTTTGCGCCCTGATTCCCCCAGAATGTCAGCATCAAATCTTTGCCCCTCATTTTCATGGTTTCCACCGAACCCTGATCAGCGGTGGGGTAAGGGGAAAGGGTCCGTTGGGTGTACATACGTTACCCATTTTGATGATATTGGTCGGAGGTTGAAGTACTGTCGGTGAAGCGAAGCCGAGTGTAGGAAGTCAATAGCGGTCGTGAAGAGTTCGTGAGAATTCGGGAAGTGAAGAAGGAAAAGAGGCTCAGGCGGGCGCAGACCGACTGGCCTTTTTTTTTTTTTCCACCTGCCCCTCGGACGACCCCGTAGCGCTTCTGCATGGATCGGCATTCCAGACTGTCTTTGGGCACGGTCCTTCCGGGCCAGTAGCGTACCAGTCGCACTCTCCACCTGGGGTCTTCACCGACGGCACACTATGAGGGGGTCGTTTTTGCTGGGGAAAGAGTTCGGGCCGGAAATTGTTTGTAGCGTTCCAGGAATTTCGCTACAGAAGCCGTTTCATCCAGTCTGGTCTTCCATCCTTTCATATGCCCGAATAACTGGCATTATCCGAATTCTATTTGTCGTTCGTTTCGTTTGAACGGACCCATTTTTCCCAATAGAGTTATAGCTTCCACTCAGCTCCTCTGTGGCTTTCTGACCCACCTCCTACCTCAACGACGAGCCTCAGACGAGTGGGATTGTACCCAGGCCTTACCTAATCATCTTTTATACGGAGCACTCCGGCACCACACTCAGTGTGGGCTCTGGCTCACCTAACGTCGATAGAAGTTACTATCCTCGCGATCTGATCCACTTCTCTGCTGCTTTCAGCAGCGCGTCAATCTTTGTGTTCTAGGAGCTTCATTTACACCCTACTCACACCCCTGCCGTACTCCTTGATCGTCTCTTTGCTCCGAGAACCCAGTTACTCGCGATCCCAGACGTCGTTAAGGAACGTCGCGCATTATGGCGACCTGGACTCCCAAAGTTATGTCACCGGACAAGCTATCTGCTAAGGAGTTCAAACATTTGCTCTCGGAATACGAACCTCTCATCGAGTCCATTTCATCCACCAAAGGCGGTATGTCGGCCCTGGATCGCGGCTCTTCCCCGCAGAATCGTTGAGCTTGCCAGCAGATTCCTGACTTCTCTACACAGCCAAGCCCGGCCAAAAGACCCTAAAAGAATTGGATCATTTCCGATTTGTCGAGGCCCCGACACAGTTTTCTGAGTATGAGCCGAAGCGTGTGATGGACCATGACGACGTCAAACTCCTAGTGGAATGGAAGCTGTAAGTGCAAGCCTTTTTGTCGCGCGTTCCCCGACAACATGTCTATGCGGAGCTTCAGACGGGGCTGTCGCTGCAGGTCCCCGTTTTCTATATTTTCGTATAGGTGTGTGCATTTGTTGAGTCATGTGCGCCCCAATTGCTGTAATAGCTGGAGGAATCGAGTGATCTGATTTATTTGCTGCAGCCGTCATGGGACATTCCGTCCAACGCTCATGAAATTTGTGTCATCCAACGATTCTTCGACTGTTGCGAAGACTATCCAGGACGCCATTGCGAGTTATCAAAGCACACCGGACCTTTCAGCGGCTTTGGGCATCCTGACAAAGTTGAAGGGCATCGGTCCCGCGACAGCTTCGCTTCTTCTCGCGGTACACTTTTCTGAGAAAGTCATGTTCTTCTCTGACGAGGGGTACTACTGGATGTGCAATAATAACCAAAAAACATCACTCAAGTACAACATGAAGGAGTACGAGTCTCTCAATATCCAAGTAGAAAAGCTCACCAAAAGACTCAACGTGTCTGCCCTAGACGTGGAGAAAGTAGCCTACGTCATTTTCCACCAGGAAGGAGTTGACCCCAAGCTGGCGCTCAAACGCAACCTTTCAAAGGCTGCAAAGGCGGCCGCTCCGCAGACAAAAGCGGCAGCACCGGAAAAAAGAAAGAAGAGCCCCGAAGATGTAGTCGAGGACAAGATGCCAGTCAGAAGATCGAAACGCGGGAAGGCTGCGTAATAAGCTTAATGTGGTCAGCGTTCGGATGGTGAACATCGGACCCGTTCGAAACACGGCAGATGGGAACGACAACCCGGATGATATGGTCCAATCCGCAGCGATGGATCTGCTTGAGGTTGGCACTTGATACGTGCGTCCATGGCCTGAAGGTGTGGTAAACGTTGCATCATGTGTCCCGGGACTGGGCTGAATGGAGAGTCGGAGAATGGTCTGGAAAATGGGAACTAGAACCCTTACCATGCGGCTACTTTCCACTTGTCAGTCAACTCTCCCATTGGTCATGTATCCAGGAACGAGGTTTATTGAGGTTTATGGCGGCACAGCGGCCCGGCTGTAGCGTTGTCAGCTACTAGGAGTATCCCCCAACGTTGAGCCGCGGCGACCCGACCTTTTCCCGGCCCCGCGTGATCCTGACCCCGGAACCTTGTCGGCGGCGGGGCCCGATGCCATCGCTCTAGGAACATGCTCCAACTCGTCCATTTCACGAACAAATACAACACGGAGCTTCTGCAAGTACCACCCGGTACGTTGCAGCTATTCACGCTGCAACATGGAGGACGACATGTTCCAAAATGAATATGGGCAAGGCGATGACACGTCGCCACTGCCGGACCTGGATTTCTCATCCATCTCAGACGACCTACTTTCTCAGTTCCTCTCACCCTTTGATACCCCCAGTCTGCTTTGGTCACAGTCTTTTCCCATAGCTCTGGACAATCATCCACGAGGCTTTATGCGTGCCGACGAAATTTTCACCGAGAATGGCGGACCAATCCCGCTGCCACCGAGATTTGCCCAGATTAAACGAAGCCTGGTCGCCGGCAAGGAGCACGCCATAGTGCAATCATGGGAACGCTTATTAGTAGCTCTTCGAGCCGAGATCGCCGTCATTGGCGTCAGGAAATCAGACATCATCCCGACCATCGACTTCTCGGAGCTCCAGAACCATACCCGCGTGTCCGAGTTCACTGCCAAGCTCCGGCGCCGAGGTGGTGCCATTATCCGCAACGTCGTACCGGCCTCCGAGGCTCATGCTTGGCGCGAAGAGACGGAGACCTACCTGTCGGATAACCCGCACACCAAGGGCTGGCCGACGCGCGACCCTCACTTATTCGGTATCTACTGGTCCCCGTCACAGATCAAGGGCCGAGCCCATCCCAACGTCTTGGCCGCTCAGCGATTTCTAATGCGGCTTTGGCGCCCTCGGGACCCCAGTGCTCCTGTGGTGGCTGACCTGCCAGTGGCATACGCTGATCGATTACGAATCCGAACCCCAGGCGACGAAGCCTGGCATCTGAATGCTCATGTGGACGGCGGCAGTGTCGAGCGGTGGGAGAGTGATGGTTACGGGAACGCTGGGACGTACCAGCGCATATGGGACGGCAAATGGGAGGACTACGATCCCTGGGATAGCAGTACGCGGCTCAGAGTCACTTCAGACCTCTACAACGGCGCGGGCTCATGTAGCATGTTCCGCATGTTCCAAGGCTGGCTTTCCATGTCCGACATCAACCCGGCCGACGGGACCCTCCTGCTTTGCCCCATGCTCCAGCTCGCCACTGCCTACTTCCTTCTACGCCCCTTTTTTTCACCGCGCAACCCCTCGCCAACGTCTCCCAACTTCCTCGCACGCGAGAATTGGGCGCTGGACTTTGCCCAGACGAGCATCATCCAGGGCGCCGTCCCTTCCTACACACAAGAGCTTAACTCGGCGCTCCACCCCCATCTCCAGCTAGACAAATCCCTCGTGCGCATCCCGCCCGTGCGGCCGGGCGACTACGTCGTGTGGCACCCGGACATGGTATACGGCGTCGACAGGGTGCCGACGTCGGCCGCGCCCGCGACCATCATGTACATCCCGGCCTGTCCCCTGACGCAAACCAACGCGCTGTACCTCGCTCGCCAGCGGAAGGCTTTCCTGCTCGGCCAGCCGAGCCCGGACTTTGGGGGCGGTAAGGGGGAGACGACGCATACAGGTCGCCCCGGGACGCAGGAGGTCAGCGACGCGGGCGGGGAGGACGGGCTTAGGGCTATGGGGCTGCTGCCGTGGGAGGATAAGGAGGACAGGAGTCCGACGGAGAAGGCGCTGGTTGGGATGGCGAATGCGATTCTGTTTCCTGAGAGTTATGATATGGTTTGAGCATTTTCTTGGTGAGGAAGGGGTTTGCATGGCGTTTGGGTCGATTCCTAGGTGCATATGGGAGGCGAGTCTGGTAAAGCAAAAGGTTTGGAAAAGAGACCCGTCAGTGTTATGGTTTGAATTGACAAAATGGCGTCTGAGACAACGAATCTACATGTAATATCCAGGTGCCGCCTCCATTTCACGGTGGCCTTGATCCTGTCGGCCACGCTCTTGCAGAAAACAAAATCACCAACCCCGGGGAACGAGCCATAGCTGCAGTCAGACTCCGCCATGAGGTCTCTAACTAAAGGCCGCAGAGAGACACCTCGTTTCTACTCTGACTGACGAAATGGCACTATCTGGCGTTCCGTTCACTCCGAGGAAAAGTAGGTGCTTTCAATAGAAGAGTCCAAGTCTATGTGTACTGATCGCTTGATGACCATTATTAGATCCGAATATAAGCTTTACGGCATCTTCAAGTAGACCAGTAGCCGGCGAGACGTCCATTGAGCTTCGGGTACCCTGCTGCCACGTTGAGTCCTGACAATAACGGGTGGATGTTCTTCATACAACCAAGCTCTCTCCTCGAGAGTCCGTTCTGGCTGTACATCAACATCGTGAACATTTAGGGAGCATGCAGTGGCCGGGTATCTTATCATCCTTTTGGCCAATCAACAACACGCCGTACGTTGCGCTGCCACTTCCCTGCGTCTTATGGCAGGCAAGACCTCGATATCAGTCGCTATGTGAGACTACAGAAAACCAATGCAAACATCGCGGATCTTACGTTCAGAATGCCTTACTTTATCGACCAATCAGATTTCTTAGTCGCATATGCACTTTTGCAACGCTTCCCACGACAAGTCTGCCTCACTCATATAATGGGCTGCGGATACGTGGCCAGCGTCCCCAGCGAGAGGCAGATTCGCCCAGACCTGTCGCCACTGTATGTGCTAAGGTTGCGGCGGGGTTACGATCATTCAGCGCTGGGTGTCTCATTGGATGGGATGTCTTCCAAAACCGCCTTGTGTTGTAGAGCCTGCCTCAACGAAGATGCAGCCTGCAGCAACGAAGATGCAGCCACGTAGTAGCAACACTTCATGGCTGTTTTCTAATGTAGGGAAGTCGAAAAAATCTGACAATGATTATCAACACTGTGTGACAGCCTACAGCCACCAACACACAGCCTGCCTGCATGATGGCGGACCAGACGCCTCAATATGTCGAGCGTTACGAGGGCGGTTGCGCTTTTTGTGGCACTTCTAAGTCCGAGGCCCCCAGATATCTTTGCATGGGTGCCTGGGGAGGAGAAATGAACCCGAACAGAATCTTTTCAGTATTCCCATCGTCCGTCGAACGTCGAGTGTCCGCTCGGAACCCGTCCTCGACAACGTGCCCAACGTCGGCTTGAGGATCACAAGCAGTTTTCAGACAACCGTTTCAATCATTTGGCTGCTCTGCTATGGCCGACCCCTTGAGCATCGCCGCAAGCATTGCGGGGCTCCTCTCTCTTGCGGACATCGTCTTTCTGCGCTTGTCCAAGTATATCAAGTCAGTCAAGAATGCCGAGAAAGAGATCAGCGATCTATGCAAAGAAGTCAATTTGGTTGGGGGCACTGTCAACATGTTGTCGCGATTGGCGACCTCCCTGGAGGCGGAGGACGAGTCTCCCATTCAGGGCTTCCGAATGCACCACGTTGACGGTTGTGCAGCGATCCTATCCGAGATTGTCAACAAGACGAAGAAGTACGAAGACAAATCAGGAGGAAGACTCAAGAAACTCTTTTGGCCTTACACTTCTTCGAAGACCAAGGAAATGCTCGCAGACCTATCGCGACACAAGGAAAACATGAATCTTGCGTTAGCAGCTACTTCATTGAAGGCATTACTGCGTTGTCTCGCTAAAGAGGAAGAAAGAGAACGAACCGCGACTGCAATACTAGCCGATGTTCAAAAAACGAAAGAGATTGCAGTACGGATTCAAGAGGATACCTGGAGACGGCGAATCCTAGACTTCTTCCTGAGATACAATCCGCAATCAAATTACGAGATGAGTGGAAAGCTACGACATCCGAGGACTGGCATGTGGCTTGAACGTCATTCGTCTTTCCAGCAATGGCTTCGCACCCAAGGGTCCCGACTCTGGTTGAGCGGCATTCCCGGCGCCGGAAAAACGGTACTCGCAGGCTCAATTATTGGCCATGCTCTTGCGAGAAGCTCAGATACCATTGCTGTAGGCTTTTTCTTTTGCGACTACAAGAACGAGACGACGCAGAGCCCTGTCAATATTCTTGGGGGCTTGGCGTATCAATTGGCGATACAGAGCGAGGAGGCGTATTCGATGCTCGAAGAGTATTACTTGGAGCTCCATCCAGACAAGGGACTCCCTCGCTCTCCCAACACAGAAGACCTAGGACGAACCATCTTGAGGATGTCTCAAGTCTTTGAACATACCTACATAGTGGTTGATGGCCTGGATGAATGCGGAGATCACGCAGAGGAGGTTGTGGAGGCGCTCTGCGATATTGCAAAAAACTCCGACGAATTATCGATGGCGCTGCTTAGTCGCGACGAGGACGACATTCAACGACACCTCCGAGATTCCGAGAAGAAGTTTCTCAATATACAGATTGCAGCTCATACAGATGACATCACTGAGTTTCTCACGTCGGAAATTGAACGACGTATTCGCAGCAGAAAGCTGGTATTCGAAGATCACTCTCTAAAAGCAGAGATTCTACAAAGCCTCGTGGCCGGGGCACATGGAATGTAAGCATGAATGAACTTGGAATTTATAACATGAAGATTTGGCTGACTCGGATTTGGCTAGGTTTCGCTGGGTTGCCTGTCAATTGGACCACCTTGGAGGCTGCGATTCTGACGAGCAATGTCGAGAAGCCCTGCGCAGTCTCCCACCCGACCTCCCAGAGACTTACATGCGCATCTTGAGGAGAGTTTCTCCAGCAAAACAAACACAGGTTCAGATGACACTACACTTCATCGCTTACGCTGAACCAAGACTCAGAATTGAGCAATTGAGAGAAATTCTTTCAATACCATCAACTAGCCAGCATCTAAGCCCATCTGGCATCATAAGGGAAGACGCAATAGCCAGATATTGCAGTAGTCTGATTCGGAAGTCAAACGACGGGAAATACTTTGAATTTGCTCATTTTTCGGTCCAGGAGTTTTTGACAAGTAACGTTTTACAGTCATCCGGTTTAGGGATGTTTTACATTACTAAATCTCATTGCAACAAACTCCTAGCAGTCCGATGCTTGGAATATCTTCAGCTCGACAACTTCAATCATCTACCGACGGCAACAAGCGAGGAACTCGAGTACATGGAGCAAAGAGACGATGAATATCATCTCTACAATTATGCTGCGGAATACTGGCTGTGTTTCGCTAGAGAAGAATGGACACATCCTGATTTACTAGCCATGGCGAAACGTCTCTTCGATCCGCAGAAATCCACGCAATTCACGTCATGGGTAGTGACTTTAGTCTTTAATCTCTTGTGTTTTACTTTTCATGATCTCAGTGGAGAAAGAATCGACATAATGGTAATTTATTCGATAGCGGGAGTCATTCACGACAGTTTCCGACCACTGCACTTCGCGGCGATTATGTCACTACCAGAGATCAGTTCGTTCCTACTACAGACTTCGGATCATCACGAGACCAACTGCATGCTTGGAGCTCCAATAAAGTGTGCTGTAAGTTGTCTTGACGGGGCTCTAGAGCACTATTGTTACTTCGACGATGACTTAGACAACCACAAACTGGCGCGGTTTCAACGCTACACAGGAATGGACAGTCCGGAATTGTCTCGTACTATCGAGACCGTGGGATTGTTTCTGAGCATGAATCTCCAAGCACCGGAGGATCTTTTACGTGTTTCTCTAAGGGATGGAATCAGCATACGCAACCTTTCGGTCGCTCAGCTACTCGTCGACAAAGGTCTTGTTCCTACACAAAGCGACCTAGACTATTTCAAAACAGTCATGGACACGATAATGGATAATGATAAACCTTACTGGGGCGAGGAATATCTGCCATCACTGTGCAAGTTCTGCGAAGCGCTTAGCCTTGGAATTGATACTTCGCCCTTGCATCTCGAGTTTTGTCAGTCGGCATGGGAATATTGTCTGCGGATTACCCCAAGTCTCACTGATATCGAAGGTTACAACATCAGTTCCAAAGTTACTGATGATGCACGTAGCCTGAGGACATTAGCATTAGATGTAGTTCGCTGGAGCCTCGACATCACTGTGTTGCAGAGAGTAGTTGATGATCAACGAGTGGATGTTTCATCCATTCTAAGCCCTGGTCAGGAAGATGGGCTGTTGCATGCACTAGTCCGGTCAGGGAATGATGATCCGGCAAGTGAAGACTCTGGTTGGTTCGTCCAGGCTGAGAAACTCTTGGACTTGCTGTTGAGCGTCGGCTGTAGCCTGTCCAAGCGCAACAGAGACGGACATACACCATTGACGCTTGCAATCAAAGAAAGACTGTTTAGCTTCGCCGAAATCATCTTCGAGAGGTGTGAAAACGAGCCGATGGCCTGGGAATGCCAGACTCCAATACTGTTGTTGGTTGCTGAATCAGGGTCTGAGGGTATCTTAGACCTACTTCAAAGTATAGGTCTGGAAGTTCACCTGGCCGACTATGAACACAAAACCCCGTTACATTGTTTGGATGCCCATGCGGAGTTGACCTTCGTCAAGAAATTGGAATCGCTGGTTTCAGACGCAAGGCAACTTCGAAGCAATGGAAAGTTGCCATGGGAATGCTATGCAGACACCATCACAGCCGAAAGATTCGACTCGCCACCTGTGGAGGTGCTAGAGTATCTCGTTCAACCGCTAGTTACTCTCTCAGATCCTTTCGAGGCGTCGAAGGTGTGGGAACACTACGCCTCAATAATTTTGCGGGGCAAAGGCCTTGCATCCGAGTATGTCGATGAAGCAGTCAGATGCCTGGTACGTGTTGGCATATTCGACATGTACGAGAAAGATTGTTCGAATTCTGCGCTTTCACCGATCGCTGAAGCCTGTTCGAATGAGTGGTTGGTAGATCCTAGCAGCATAAAGCACTTTCGTCTCACGGACGACACGCTGTGTTTCTTGTTGAAGGCCACAACCTACTGGAACAGCTTCCAAGGGTCACTTTGTGCCGTCGAACTTCTGAAAGTATCTTCCACTCTCAACTACGGCATGACTGTAGGTCAGCTGTTAACACGAGGCATTGATGTCCATCGACGCTGCAAAGGGTCGTCCACCCTGGAACATATTTGCGCGTTACCAGCGGCCTGTGAAGATGACAATTCCAGGGTACGACAGCTTCTTGATCACGCAGATCCCGTATGCTTGAACCATACAAACCCAAGCTCTGGTTTGGGGTTGATTCATCTCTCTAATGAGAAGGATGTACCGCAGTTCAGGCATGGGATAGTTGAAATGCTTCTAGGGCATGGTGTTATTCCAGATCTGCGGATTAGTATCTGGCCACGATCATCGGCATTGGTTTACCACTTGTATAAGAAACATTTTGACTTAGCGGCTACTCTCCTCCGTCAAGGAGCGGATCCTTCAGCTCCGGATCGGAAAGGATGGACAGCGACTCACGCGGCGATTGCGCGCGGTAATGTGTCTTTTCTGTCCGACCTTCTCGATATCAGGAAATGCACTTGGAAAATCGACTGGGAAGGTCAATGTGACCTTACTTATTATGGACAAGCGTACGAAGGCATCAGACCGCTGCATTGCGCAGCCCTGTCATCTGTCGATTGTCTCCAGGCTATCCTTGAGAAGGTAGACTCTATCAGTCTGGAAGCGGCGGCAGAGAATGGGTTCACTGCTGTTCACTTTGCAGTGGTGAGCAGGAAAATTAGCGCGGTTGAGCTTCTCCATGATCGAGGTGCAAACATCAACGCGAGGTCAGTTGATGGCCAATTAGCCCTGCATATTGCTGTTGCTAAAGGCTATCTCGCGGCCGTCGAAAGACTCCTGGAACTGGGCAGCGAAATAACACCCGATTGTGATGGAAGGACGCCGCTGCTACTGGCGTACCAACGAAATGATCAAAACATCATTGACTGCCTTAGAGACCACGATCAGAGCCAGCGCGGCGTGGTTCCGGCCGGTATGCGTTCTGCAGCTCTAGCCAAAGGGGTTTTCAGAGCTATCCAAGCTGGGAACCTCTCTTCTTGTCAAGAGATTTTTGCATCACTGCCGACAGTGGATATAGATATACCTGCCATTTTTGGGGGCCTTACAGCTCTTGGAGCCGCCGTACGCTTTGGGGAACTGAACATAGTAACTTGGCTTCTACAACAAGGTGCAAATGTAAATTACCCCTGCGGAAACGACAGTTCCATCATCCTGTCGATGATTTTCCAACCCCTTTTGAATCCGGGATTACCAGCAATGCTCGAGAGATATGTTGCGACCGGTGGTAGCATTCTGAGGGAATCAGGATGTGTGGTGGCCACGGCTGTGAGGGCTAAGAATGAAGAAGGGTTGGTAATTCTTCTGGATCATCTGAAAGCAAATAGGAAGCATTATGCGTAAGTTAACTTCCGAGTTTGATGAGATTCAACAACTCACATGGATGTAGCGAGCAAGTTGGTGCAGACTCGTCGGCATTATTTGCGTCGGCTGTGAATAGAAAATGGCAACATATGACAGCCTTGCATTGGGCGGTAATGCAGAACAAAGTGTTCTTTGTTCAGCTCTTAGTCGACAACAGCGCCGATCTCGAGGCCAAAGACAATTGTGGTCGCACCCCCCTCCTCCTCGTCACAACGGCACCTGCTACGGTCGACAATTCAGTTGTTATTCAAATTCTTCTCCAGGCTGGCAGCAACATCAACTGTCGCAACAACACTGGCGCTACACCAATGGCCGAGGCATGTGAGAAGGGGAACTCTCTTGCCATTTCAGCTCTAATGGACTGGGACCCAGATATGTTGGTCAAAGATCACAAAGGGCGCAATGTGTTGCACTATCTCTTCTGCAGCAGAGAGACTAACGAAAGAGATAGCTGTAGGCCCGCACTCTTCATCAAGTTCACTCAAATGGGTGTCAAGCCGAGCGAAGTCGACATGTTTGGCTGCTCTGCCCTTCATCTGAGTATGCACAACAAATGTATGACAGCCTTGTTGCTGAATGGAAATGCCCAGATTCAGGACGAAAGGCCTATTCCGTGGTCAAGTTTGTTTTTAAACCCGTATGCTGTCAACGCAGCATGCCTGATAACGGCCTTTCGGCTGTACCGTCGAAAGCTATCAACTCAAAAGTTCCGTACGCTGCTGAATCTTGAGGTCGTCGGTCCTCGGAATCCCCTTTGCTTCGCTGCATCCAGAGGGCAAATACAAGCCATGGAAAACATTTTGTCTTTGGGAAGTCTGATAGACTTTGAAGGCTGTCCTGAGGGGTCCGCACTCATGGCAGCATCCAGCGCAGGAACTTTAGAATCCGTCATCTATCTCGTTCGCCATGGCGCGAGCATCTCCTTCCAAGGACACAACCACTTTCGGTCTGCAGTGAAGCTGGCCGCTACTTCACCGCGGGTCCTTCGCTGGTTGCTCGTAGATCGATTCACCGACCAGAAGAAGCTCGACCAGTTTTGCCACGAATCAACCTCCCTATCGACATGTTTTAAGCCGTGGAGCGGGATTCATAAAGCCGAGATGGTCATATCAGGACAATGGGAGCGGCAGCCATATGAGTCTTCTCAGCAATACTGGGCACGTCTATCGAACATGACAGAGGATTTTAAGGGCAAGTTCCTTCCTCCCAACAGCGGGAAGACAACGCGGAGACAGTCGAAGCTGGTCCCGTCAGAAAGTGTCAAGATTGCAGCCGACGGATATTTTGTTCCGTACGATGCCTCGGTAGGAGAACGCGTGACGAGAAAGAGCAAGTGGTCGGAGTTGGGCTTGGAGGTTCGAGAGTGTCTGGAGCGTTTCTGCTTATGATCTTGAGGGAAGTCGTGCTGTTATGTAGGAATGAGCTGGCAAATGTCTCGTGGATTTATCGTTCAGACTGGCGTTACGGCTGTCAGGTTTCTTTCATGTTTTCATACTGCTTCCCAGTCATAGCCCATACTAGCAACCAAGCTATCAATGTTTCTCAAGAACTCCTTACATGGTGACATGAACCCAACCGCCCAATGTCATCCTCGGAGGCGGAGAACACTTGTTCGTAGTATCTTCAAGCCTTCTCGCATGTCCCGGGAGTAACTAGATTGTCCACGGTCTTGTGTTACGAGGCAGTCGGCAGCGGACGCAGCTTTCCCTGGCATAGAGCCGCAACGATGATGAACATTCGAGCATTTGACGACGAGACGAGCTCCCCACTTCCATCTCCCACGACCACCAAGGAAGAAACTCGCCCTTTCCCTCGGAACTGCGCAATAAGATCCCCCACCGTACACAAAAGCTACAAAACAAAAGGAAGAGTACAACACACACATGCAACACCGGGCATTCGCCGGTCGTCTCCGACCCGACTACTACTCCGGCCCTCACTGGTTTATCGATGGGAGAGCGGACGGGATCCCGAGTTCTCCAGTGGGTGTGGTCGCATGTGCTTTGTCTTAGTGGTGAGGGTGCTGATGTTGGAGTTATCACTAGAGGCTGGTGATAGTGGTTTCATGTCAGGGGCAAAAAGAGGATCTTGAGATTGAGTCGCGAACACAGTCAAAAGAATTTGTTGGTTGTATTCATCAAACTACGTCAAATGTCTGCTCTGGCCGGAGACGAATATGTCAAAAAGGAGTGCTGGAATGCCTTCGACCGGCAAAAGTTCCGAAACCGAGAATCGAACTCGGGGCTATGCCTAACCTCTCATTGAGGTGAGAGGGCATCATGTTGGCCACTACACCATATCGGATGTTCATGGAAAGCCTTGACAGAAACTCATTCAAGGAGCTCTCCACTTGCGGGCCTCCATCTGTAGCCCGTCACCCACGCGGGCTTAGCGCCCAGCGGACCCACAGCACCGGCCACAACCCCCGAACATCGGCGTGTCTACCGACCGAACGTCTTCCGAGATACGACCTCGAGCGAGTCATGGCACGGCTCGCATCCCATGTCAGAAACCCGACCAGTTCGTCTCAGCCCCCAATGAATTCGCGTTTTCTGGGCGGTCATTTGTTTGGCGTTGCAGTCTTGGGATTCTCTGGCTTTTTGAAATCTCGTCTAACGCACCTAGTTCCATGGACTAGTCCGTCTTTCTTGCCTGCCGCACCGGTCTAAAAAGTAGCTCGACTGAATGGCAGGCACCCAGGTCCACGGGCAGACATTACCCTGGTGTTGGGGATCTCAATCTAACCAGTGACCCCTCCCTTCTCACCAACCACGGACACCACGACCACCCATTACCGTGATCTGTCACCACGCTACCCACCGGCATTAAACCCCCGGAGAACCGGGAGTGGGATGGTGGGCATGCAAGTGACAAAATGGGATAATGGCCAACAAAATATTACCATGCTTACTTACTTACCTGCTTCTTGTCCACAATGTTTTTATTCTTTTTATTCCTGTTAGTTCTACTGTTACTTTATCTTTTACATTCATTTGAAAATTATTTGAGAAAAAAAGAGGAACAGTGATAACAGGAATAGGAATAGGGACAATAAGAATGGGAACAGGGAGAATAGGAACAGGAACAAGAGGGAGAGGAACAAGGTCAACAGGAATAATAGGAGTGATAGGATAAGCGCCAGGGAGGGTACCTATAGAGCGGCAACCGAAGGTGTCGCCCACCTGGCATGGTACTGTAGTGCCAATGTTCCGAGGAGGGTGTGGGTAAAGATGACGTTGATCGATCCTTTTGTAGTTCATCGACTCTTGGGAAGATGTTCTGCCTAGGGTAGACCCCCTGGGCACGTTCGGGGGCCTCGTTTATAGCCTCAGAAGTAGACGGTACATCTTGCATGGCGACACGTCGATGTACTCGATACATCTTGGTCTTGGCTGTCTGCTCGGGTACCGTCTCCTCTTGCCTAATCTGATCTTCTTGAACTTGCGATTGTCCGTTCTCTCGTATGTGAGACAGGAATATCAGTGGGACGCCCTGCGCAGGAATAGCTTGATGCGATTGTGAATCTTGAGTCGTGAAAAGGGGATTAGGAGATAATCTTCCAGGAAGAGATCCGAATCGTTCGTCGGAAGTGCAACATGGCCCCCGGTTCTCGTCGTTCGATTCGTCATACTCGTCAGAGCTGGCGAGGTAATGACGCAAATCAGATATCACATCGGAACGAGGGCTCCAAATGCCCATCGAACAGATTTCGGGGCTGGGATATCGTGGGGATTTCCTCCTCAACAACACGCAGGCCGCTTCGCACACGTGTATGGCCCGGAGGCCAGAACTTCCTCTCTCGCTCTCCCTCAACCCCCGGTCTTGGCAGGGTGGCAGGCAGGAAAAAGATCCGGGACTTGAATCGTGTATCGTGCATCGGACAAGACTACAAATATGGATTGCAGCTCAAAAGCCACGGGGAATGGAACTCCAAATTTCCAGCTTTCCCTTGCCGGACTGACTCCAAACTCCGCTAAACCCCTCACAAACTCCTCATCGCCTTTTCGCTTCAAGTCCATCCCAGGAAACCGATGTTCCCAGCACCCCCCGGGAATGGACTGTCTTGGGTGGCAAGGGGTCCTATCCGAGCGGCTGGCAACACAGCTCTTCTCGGGTCTCCTGACCTCGTATGCTCACCGTTTTCGTATGAAGAGTCGAGACGGTCTCTGGACGGTTGTGAGCAGGTCACGTAAGCATGCCTACTCACACCCCTCTCTTGAATCGCCAAAAAAACGCACAATGTAGCAACTTCCTTGATTAAACCCCCCAGATGTGAATTGCGTCACTATAATCTCAATAAGGCAGAGTCGCTTCTTATCTTACTTTTTGCCTAGTTCCCCCGGACTCCTGGTGGGAGTCTCAAAGCTCACACCCAAGAGAGCGGCACGACTTGCCTGCCCGTTCCGATTGGGAAAGGCTTCGAAATGGTTAAGGTTTGTTGTGTAACCCGTCAACTATGAGATGACGTTGTGGATAATGGACGCGGCCCCGCGCCGCCGGCCAAAGGAGTTGGTTGCGGAGTCTCACTCGCAGCTTGCCTGCCAACCTCTCTCCAGACTCCCGAAATGCTGTTGTCGGCTAAAGTGAAGGTTCACTTACTCATACAAAGCATGCTATTTCGGCAAAAGATGGGTATATCCCGATAGGAATCCCGATTTGTTATCACTTCAAAGCCCGAGCAAGTGGGTGATGGCGGCGGGCAAAACTTGGGCAGAACTTCTCCTCGTCGGCACGAAGAATTAGGTGCTAGCTCGGTTATGCCGTGAAGTCGAAATATCGAGAGCTGAATTGGGAAAAGAGCCTGGTGAATACCGAGACATGTCAGAGCTTTCGCTAAACTAAGGTAAGAGAAAACATGGAAAACATCAGGTCTCACTTTGGCTCTTAGTCCAAATCTGAGTTCAAACCCCGGCCGGCAGTAGATGAGAAGCTGCAGCTGAACATCCCATGGCTTCCTAGGGGCCCTTTCGAAATTAGTCGCTTCTTCGGTTCTATCAGACCGAGCAACCTTGGGCTGTAATTGCTAAATTGTGCATTCTTCAGTAAGTTCAACTAGCTAACTATGAATGGATCCATTGTCAACATGAGTTGATGCTCTCCACCATCTATGATGAGCCCATTAGCTGCGAAATGGTGCTCAAAGACAGTGAGTGCCATGAGTAGGGTCGGGGTGCAATCCCGCGAGGCATGTTTTGAAATTAGGATATTCCCTTCAAGCTTTGCTGGGCAGGACTTGAAGATATATATAGTACTTGTAACGTCGGATAACGGGACACTTCACTAGTGAGATGTACCCTGTGGGTGATGATATTTCCTTGGAAAATGGTCACTGTGACCTGGTGATTTCTCAATTTGAGTTCGATTTCACTGAACATATCATATTTTCGCTTCTCCGGAGACATCTTGGTCGCCCGGCGTCCGTGAATTACTTTGATGTCACATTGTATCCTTGTAAGAAATATGTTCAAGATCCTGACTGCGGGGTGTGACTGTGTGCGATCTTGTTTTCCCCCATGATTACATGCTGGTTACTTTCATGCGCAGAGCCAAGCCCAGAGCTCACCCGAATTTGTGAGAATGAATCCGAGGAGAGACACTGTCTCGAAGTATTAGACGTTCACAATGACTTGGAATTTCATACATGATCGGACATGTTGCTGAGCATCTAGAACACGTGTGAAGTAATTGGTAGTTGCCAGCTGGAGAGGATCGCCTGTGACCTCACGCGACCAATCACACCCACCCTGGGCGAACTGCCTTACCATGCCCTGAGGTGACACCGTGACAGCAAGACAGCGGCAGGTAGCGGGCAGGCTCGAGGAGCACAGCAGGCCAATGCAGGGGCCGACAGTGGTCTGTGCTTGGCTTTGGCGAGGGGGATGCCTTAACGAGAGTTGTGATACGTGGGCGGAATTGCTCAGGGACCAGAGGCTAGCCCTTCCAGCCCTTCTGGGCCTTCTAGCCCTCGGATCCCGCCAATCTCAGCCCAGGGAAGGGACGGAGCCGATGGATGCTGCTCCAGCAAAGTACCTTTCATTACCTCATCTCAAGGCTTAAAGCATACCTAGTATCCCGTAGCTGACATGGGGGGCACACCTGCCTGTCTGTACCTTATTGTTAACCTACCCGAGGCCTAGCAGTGATCGCACTAACAAGGCCCCGTCACCGAGGTCGTGCGACGCACCTTCCCCTGCCAGTGCCAGCCCACGTCCGCCCGCCCTCCCCTCTGCCTTCTTGTCAGGGCCAGCGCCAGCAACTGTACCGACCTACTTCCTGCAACATAGATACCACTACCAGCGCCTACTACAAGCACTAGAGCCTTCCTTGGGACCCGACCTTGCGAACAAGACGAAAGTGGATCTCTTTTCTGCGGCTAGGCTCCAATTCTCTCCTCTACCCTACTACGGCTACCTGGCGTTCTGCAACCAAACTACACGTACCATACCTCACAGCAGACCACACAAGCCCCGAGTCATCCAACGACACAGCAACTGCAACACAACCCTCAGCAACCCAAGTAAACAAATTTGTCCCTCGACTCAAGCCCCGAAGCCCCCTCGACGCACGTCCGTTAGCCTGCTCCCAAATCACCGCTCTCCCGACGACCTTGCCTCGCCAATTGGCCCGATATACTACCTTCTCTCTGCCCTCTCTTCCCACACCACCTCCCTCCCTCGAACCGCAATCGCCTTGTCCCAAAGACCGACCCCCCGGGCAATCATCCACATCCTCGCGAGAGGGGGGCAATGACTATTCCCCCGCCGAACCATGGCTGATTCGGCCAGGTCCTCGGACAAGAACCCCCGGTCCCCCCTCAAGTCCAAGGTTGTACGCTCTCAGAAGATCTCTCCGCCCAACGATTCCCGGCCCCCACCACCAGGCGTT